GAAAATTCATTATTTTAAGTTTGAAACTTACATTCTATTCTATCTAACGTATGTGTATGAAAATACCTTCTGCTGAAAAGAAATGTTCAGTCCAAAAATACTCTGATGCTATGGAACATATAAAATCGAATGTCAATAAATAAGAATTTTGATTTAAAGCTTATGAAAATGACAATGATAGGAACAAAATAAAATAAAAATTTCTGTCAACCTCATCAACTCTTTAGACGTGTGCCTTGGCACAAACATTTGTGAAAGTGTTAAGTGTTAATAATAAAAACCATTAAAATGTGTTATATTTTATTTTTAGTATTGCTGAGTAATGAAACGGTTGTTGCCAACTTTATATCTTTAGGTGACATTCTAGGACGGTAAAGACTACTTCCATTTATATTTTTGTTTGTTTTTATTTTGTAAACAAATTTCTTTGAAATTTTCCTTTCCTGATTTGTTTATCTAGCATATTACTCTATCTGGCTAACGGGTTATGTTAATTAAAATTTAAAAACGTATAACTGGAATTGATTAGGTGACATAATGTTTATGGAGACTAAAGATTTTGTAAAAAATAATATCAATTGTAAGGAAAATGTTAGGATGTTTAGCGACCATCCAAAACCAGTTTTTAGACAGAAAAGATGATATAATTTTTTTAGTAAAGTAATTATCAAAATCAATGACTTTGAATTTCTTTGAGGCTTAAAACAAAATTTTGAGATTGAAGGGACTCGGCTATAAGAAAGTTTATTACTTTAGTTCTTAGCCTCATTGTATGTTGGAGCTTCAAAGAAAATTATGTGTCAATGGACCCAAAAGGAAGAAAACAATGTTAGCAAAAGCAAATGGAATAATATGTTTATTTATTTTATAAGAAATTATTGGCTCTTATAAAAAAGGAGGTTATATATGCTATATGGAGCATCTTGAGAACTTTGATTTTGTGTTGGATTATTTGATTGTAACCAAAGATGTACACTTTTGTGCCCACTTCTCACTTTCATAACTTTTTCTGAATTATTGGTGAGTTTCCTGTTTTTATTTTACATAAAAATCTTATTTTATGTTTTTCTTTTCTGATCATGATGAAAAATTCTCTCACAAATCGCATATATTCTTTCAAAGGTTTATGTGAAGGAATAATCATAACATTATTTTGTCCATTTGCTCCAACTTTCAATGGACTAGCTTTCTTCTTATTCTCTGTTTCTACAATGATCAAGCCTTTTTCTCCCATCCCATAATTTGAAATTAAAAAAGTTTCAATCTTTATTAATCATTCATGGAATAATAACTAGTTTGAAAATGAAGTCTGTTTACTTGTTATTTTGAATTATAGGTACATAAGAATGTTTTTGTTGAGTTTGGTACCCTTCTATTACACACCAATAACATGCAACCACGCGTAATTAGTTCAACTGGAAACTTTTTTTTGTTTTTTATATAAATGGTTTAATTTTACCTTTTTAGCAACATAATCATATTAAAATTCAAAAATACAATTTTGTTTGAGAACTTTTAAAAATATTTTAGAGCCATTAAAAACGGATCAAACTATGCAGACTAAGCTCAATCCATTTTATTAGAGAATGATATGAACTTTAAAAAAATATTTAAGAGCCATTAAACGGGTTACGCAGATGTAGCGGATTTTGTTCACGGACTGCCGAAAGAGCACGTAAACTACTTGTTTAATGAAAAAAAAAAAAATATACACACAAATACTTCTTTTTGTCACAAATAAAAAGAAAACATATGGTAAGTTAGATATATACAAAAAAATAATAATTCAATAAAAAGAATTGCTCCTATCTTGACTATCTTTTCGTATT